GCTGCCGCAGTGGGCAGCGACCATGATCCGTTGGATCAGGTCATTCGCCGCACTCGGTATCCATAGCCGCTCGTCCACTTGGCACAGTCCGTCCACCACGGTAGCTCGCTTCGGTTTGTCGTTGCCATGCTGGTCTTGGGCGTGACAGATGTCCACCACACATGGCCACACAAAGTCCTTGTCCAGCGGTCGCAGTTTTGGTTGTTCCGGTGGAGGGACTTTCGTTTTTACTTTCTTTGACCAGCCATGGCCCCGACGTATTTTGACCCGCTTTGTCGCCAGACTTGGTGTCGGCTGACCCCAACGGCTCATCATATCCGCCCAAAGGTTGTGGATGCCGTCGATGTGTATGATTTCATAACGATAGCCGCCAATAATGGCAGCCCATCGCATGAGTTTGCCGCGTGTGTGCGCCTTCCATTCTTCGCCCGGGGCAAAGACATGGATGAGGTTATTGTGATCACAGTACATCTTGAACCCCGTGGGTCGCATAAGCATGTAATTGAGCTTCTCGCACGCACGCGCAATAGGGTAGGCCTCCTTTTCGATGACTGACCACGCCTTCTAGGCGCCCGCAAACATCCCCGACTGACATAAGAGCAGTTTGTGACGTTGTTCTTGGACTGGGCTGTCATCATCGAATGCCACCACTTGTGTTACCACAATCGACCATCCATGATCGCTCGCATCCGTAAAAAAACACATCGTGGCGTCATCACGCGGGTGAGACAGTTCCACCGATGATCGTAGCTTGGACTTCACGGCGTCAAACGCTAGCTTCTCGCCGTCGGTCAGTTCCAACTGAACACCAGACGCGATCCGCTTCTTCTTGCCCTTGCCTTCGAGGGCCTTCGTCAGACACTGCTGCAGTGGGTTGACGGTCTATGCGTACTCTGTCATCGAGTCCCGCAGCCAGTTCACGGCGCACACAAACTGCTGCAATTCTCCGCATTTGTAGGGTAGGGGATCGCACACAGATGTTCTATGCGTTCAGGGTCTTGCTTGACGCTATCACCACTGATGATGCGTCCGCACCACTTGACTTGGTCCGTGAACAGCTTGGTCTTGGACGGACTCAGCTCGAACCCGTACTGGGCCACTCGATCGAAGTACGACTCGAGGGCATCCACATACTCTTCTACTGTGTCGGCGTACACAAAGATGTCGTCGATCCATATCAGCATGTTCTTGTAGAGCAGGTCTTTGTAGCACTCCTCGTTCGTTGATTGCACGTAGAGGGCACTGTCCACATGGCCTTGCATCACTCGATCCGGGGTGTACACACATCCGTTCAGCATGAACGACAACATGTCCCAGCTATCCGGGTGCAGTGGGAACTGCCAAAAGCACTTGGGCAGGTCAAACACGCCCATCGCTTTCTTGCCTCGTAGATTTTGGAGGATGGTAGCCTGGAACGGCATCGTCCCTGCTTTCAGCTCGGTTAGCGAGTTGACTACTCGGTAGTCGTTGGTTAGCCGATAGTTCTTGAGCACGTCATCGTCGCTCCATTTGTCGGCTGACTTCAATGACTTGCTCCCATCTGGTTTGAGAACTGGGTTCACCGGGCTGCACCATTCACTTTGCTGGTTGCTCTTGATCACGCCCGCATCGAGTAGTTCTTGTGCAAACAACTTGAGGAACCTCTCCTCCAGGAGGTTGTGCTTCCTTCATTTGCATCGGTAAGGAACACACCCATCCTTCGGGGTCACCTTCAACGGCTTCACCTTCGCCGGTGGGTCTGACCCGTCGAACTTGATTCGCCAGATGTCATGCTTGCTGAGCACATCCCACAAGTACTTAACATGTTCCATTGGAAATCCGTTATCGACTGCGCCGTCAATCATGCCGTGTAGGGCTCCCTCGACTTCATTCTTGGCTACAGGTAGCGCCGCCTTCATGGTCGCGGTTCTGACGGCCGATCGTTGGGGCAATTCCTCGCAATCGCCACCAACTTCTTCCAGGTCATCGCCGTCCTCATCCACTTGCAGGCGCGCCACCTGTTCCAGCAGGCGGTCGATGTCGATACCAATGGTCTTGAGGGTGTGGTTCGAGACGAGGAATTCATCTCCGTCGTTGACCACATAACAGCGGCGCTTGCCTGGCACCTTGACTGGTCCAGCGGCCGTCTGAATTCTTAGCGTAAGGTCCACGTAGGAGCTCGCTTCGAATGGCATCTGATTGCATGCTGTTCCCACAAATGGCGCAGCCAATTTGAGAACTTGAAGTTGTGGCTGTAACGCTTGAAGTTCATCCACGATGGCTTGTGGGATAATGTTTTGGTCTGCGCCGGTGTCCGGGCAGTATGGAACTTCCAGCACACTGTTCAGCCGCACCCAACGTCCATCATCCTCCATGCTGGGCGGTGGGGGTTTTTTCATTCGCTTGGCTTGCATATTCGCTTTGCATTCCCGCGCCTTGAACCGCTTGACGGCGTTCTTGCCCTTCTTCCAGCTTGTATCGCCGCTATCCCCGTCTTTTTTATTGGGACACTCCCGGGCCATGTGTCCTGGTTGCTGGCAGACAAAACACAGCATGCCGCGATCATCCCGGCCGGGTGCAAATCGAGGGCATGCTTCATCACGCACAGCTTGGACATGGCGGTCGTCGTGTCTTGGGCGCGAGTTCGCTTGCGGTCTGTACTTTGTGGCTGGTGGGTCCCCCGTTCGCTTTTGTGTCGACGGGGACCACACCGCCGCACTTCGTTCCGGCTTGATGTATCCACCTGGTGGACGTGGGTAATTTCCTCGTAATTCCCGCTGATCTCGATCAGCTTGGTTGGCCTTCTTCGCATGTTTCGTAATGCGGCGCCCTTGGTCAACTTATTCACGGCCACGCTTCGAACCATAGCTGTTTCTTTGTTGGTTGACCATGTCCGCGTCATGCGTTCGGTCGAGCTGTTCGCGTAGGATATCCGCAAAGGCCACCAGATCGTTTGCTGGCACAGTCATCATTTGCGCTTCGACTCTGTCGCGTAGGTAGCTGGGTGTGACACGCGCTGCTACCACCTTCACAAACGTTCTCATCATGGTTGAGTCTTTGAGTTGCTGACGTAAGCCGTTTTCGTCGATGACGTCATCAACCTGTTCCATAAATGACACCAGGCGACTGGTCACGTCTCCATGGGGGTCGACACTCAGCGCCCGACAGTAGGTTTGCATGTCTGACTTGGTGGGTGTCCACTTGGTCGCTGGTTGTCCGACGATTTCCATGATGCGGTCGCGGTAGTCGTCCTCACTGAGTTGTTCCACATGCACTCACCAAGCATAGGTGCATGTAGCCTTCAGGAGGCTGCGGTCAGTGGAAGGGATCCACCCCACAGCACTCTGTCGCCACTCGCCACCCATGCGTTGCGCATTCGCCCGTAGCTTGTCCTCATATGTCTCCCGCTTCTTCACCCAACTGACTAGGAATGTTCTGTCCATACAGGTGATCCGAGGGGGTTGAACATCTGTCACCACCAATGAAGGTCCACTGGAGTTGAAGTTGGGCCCCCATCCTCCGGTGCTTGGTGTTGGTGGTCCACTCGTAAGAGGTCCCCATCCCGAACTGCTTGGTAGGGTGGTGTCCAGCATCCGTCGATCATGGGCCGCACGCGCCACTTTGGCATGGTCGACACGCTTCTCCTTCGGGGGACGATTGGCTTTGTTGATCCGCCGCCGCTCAGCTTGCTTACGCTGTTCTTCTTGGTATTCCTTTTCTTCTTCCTCACTGTCAGGAGTACTGTCCGGACGATTTCGTCGTTCCGCACGTAGCTTAGCTCGAGCTTCCGCCTTTTCTTCCGCTCGCTTCTCAGCATCGGACTTCTCTGGCGACGGGTAGTCTTCGTCGACATAGGCGCTTTCGATTGGGGGTCGTGGTAGTTGTTCCCAGTTCGGTCCCATGGTTTGTCCACCATATCGCCGCCGCGATTCGTCCCAGGTCTTGGACGCCGCTCGCGCGCTACCCGTTGCCTTGTTCGCCTTGGCCAGCTCTTCCATCGTCTTCCGGACTTCCTCGCTCTTGGACTCTTCCACAGCCGACAGCACATCCGTGGTCCCATCAATTACCGGGACCAACGGTGGCTCCGTCACTGGTACTTCCTCCTCAGTTTCGCTGCTCGCAGCTGCTGGCGTCGTTACCGCGGCC